GTATGTATGCATTTGAACGTGTTCATTTCTCTGTACCATGTTTTTATATTTCTCCTTTGTTTGTTGTGACATAATTTTATGATATCTATTGTTGTTGATCTGATCACAGAAATAAAACGAGAGCCTCACGCATCACAAGTAACAGAGTGAAGGGTTTGTTTGTTTGGTCTTATTTCCTCTGGGCCTTTTTTCTCTGATTAAAGTAAAAATGGGGAAATTATGTCATTAACTTGAGCCTGTTTACATCTGTGTATTTCCTCGTCCTTCATTTAAGTCTGAGTAACTCTGTAATTCTCTGTGTTTTGTCCTAAATACTTTCCTGTAAACATCACTTTCTTAGTTAATGTAGAAGTCCAGCATTCAAATATGTTTAGATTTCTATTTGACAAACTAAAAAACGAGTTCAATCAGCAAAGTCAAGAAGAAAAGTATTTCCTCTAACAGTGACTGGTACTGTTTTTGGGCTGTCGCAGGGATGGCTGCAGCTCATTTCAGATCCTCTTGGGTTATTTCCTCTCATGATTAAAACTCTGTTTTCAGAAACACAACACAGTGTAAATATTAACCCTCCAGACTTAAACTGTCACTCAGTAACTCTTTTTTTATTTATTTTTTTATTTCCAGAGCTAGCAAAGCTTTTTAAAACCTTATTTTGGGCAAAGTCAGCAATTTTCTTTTGAAAACACTTGATGTCAGGTTTGTACATGTGGTTTTTATGTCTTGGGGATAATGTCCTGTATATAATAACTACCAAAACAGCTTTTCATGAAAGCTGCAGACGTGGTGCCACAGATGAGTCTATCCTCTGGAGATGACGGCTTAGTTTCACTTTGTCCCGTTCAAAAGATCGTGACTTCCAGCACCTTCAACACTCCCTCACATCCAGACTTTAAAGGATCCATTAAGGTCTGTTTTTATCTTTCTTTTTCCAACAGGAACTGGTTTCATGTATTTATTTATTTAATCTGTCATCATAAAGTCATGCTGGAAGTGGTGAATCTTCAGCGTCTGCTATTCGCGCGGTGCCCTTTGCTTCCATAATAAAATAAAAAAAAGCAGCTGACTGTCAGTCACCTTTTTTTGAACAGTCAGAAGCCACGAGTGCAGCTCGTGAACTCGGTCATAACCGCAGGCAGAGCTCAGGGGACGTGTATTGCAGTGACTTGTAGATAAACATTTATGATAAGGTGGGGACTGGTGGAGTGTGACTTTTCACTTTGGGAAACTGAAATGAGGCAGAAGGAGACTCCTCTGTGCACAGCCTGTAAATAATCGACTCAGCACAGCACAAACACTACTGGTCAGAAATTTGATTTAATCAATTTCATGACATCATCATTCCAGAGTTAAAGCAGGAATAATTTAGAGGGTGAAGCTGCACATTTTCTCCTCCTGCGCTGTTTCACTAATGTTCTTTGCTGTGGATGTTTCCTGTTTGACAAAAACAGCCACATAAACAACTGCACGATCCCCCAGAATCAGATCATCAGATTGTTGCTGTACTTTCTTTGGTTTCAGCTGGTGCTGTGAACAGGATGCGGCCAGAATAAATAATTAAACTAAACCTATGGACAGTGTGTGTGTGTGTGTGTGTGTGTGTGTGTGTGTGTGTGTGTGTGTGTGTGTGTGTGTGTGTGTGTGCGCATGCAGGAGAGCCCCTGAACATGAACATCTGTTTCTTCCCCCTGAGTTTTAAAATTGGAGCAAAACAGAAACAGGCCTTGTAGTGAGCAGTGATGGTGGTAAAGTGGCTGTGCTCATGAGGGGAAGAGAGATGTGCTGCCACCTGTTGGCTGTAGTTTGTCACTGAAGCTTTAATTAAACATTAGATTTTATTCTCATGAATTAATTAACTTTGAAACATA